ATAGACTATTAATAATTTATTATTATAATTTCAAAAATATTAATTAATTGAATAGTTCATATTACGATGATCAGTTATTCAGATTATCAAATGTTATGTAATTTTCTGTCTTTCACAGATTTAGTAATATCACTGCCCATATTAGGCTAAGACTTAGGGCATAGCTGACCAGTCTGATAAATACAACAGCCTTATCTGGTTGGTGATATTATTGTAATAATATTCCGTACTTTTTTATGAGATACAAAACATCTTTAAAATAAATAACGAAATTAAAAAGAGCACAAAATGTCAACATTATTATTGAATTACTATTATTATAATATTCCTACTATCTCTACTACTATTTGCTGGCTACAGGGTACAATGAGAGCAGCTGATTCATATCTTTCGGCAAACTTGAATTTGTCTAATTATAGACGCTCCGTTGACAACGCTTCGAGTGTTATCTTTTATAGCAAATCATTTAACAGAGCGAGTCTCTAGCTTTGGCTCTAAACTCTTTGAAATGAGATTGCTCGCACTTCCAGGTAAATGCCCGAGTCCAATTTTAATGTTATCCAACAAAGTGCCTACAGCAAAAGGCAGGCACTGACTGGCTAGACGAGCTGCTCTGTTTGGCGAACAATTTTCGCGACACACACACACACTCATTAGATGACGCTGGCGTGTGGAAATTTCGTTATATATATATCTCTCATTGCAGTCAGGCGTTGACGATTTTGAATTTATGTTAGAGTGAATTGGCGAATGACAACATTTGCAAAAGTCAGTCAGTCTGGCACAGTTGGGCACTTACCGAAGGGTGCAGCTCTCAGCTTTCATTCAGGAATAAGTTTTATATAGCGAGGCTTACCTGCAAAGAAAACAAAGAAAACATTAGACTTACTCTAGATAAGAATGAATGTAAGAAATGCTCCAGAGAACACGCGACTTGGCATCAAGTATGGCTTAGATCGCATTTAACTTAAATATTCACTTGAGAGGCCAACTTCAGCTAACCAAATTAGAATTGATGACCTTTCCTTCAAGGCTGCCAGCCAAAAGAGCATGAAAATCGGCTTAGCAGCAATCATATACACATATGTATATGAATATATACATTTATACCTCTGTGTGTGTGTGTGTGTACACACAATGTGTCAACACCTTTTTTTGTCTGCCACGCCCTGTAATCTTCCAGTCCACTAACACTGTTTACACACACACTCGCACTCGCACACACACGCACACATTTACATATGCATGTGATTTGCTTTTTTGGCGCATGTCTTTGCTTTTAGGGCTGAGCATATTTTGTTTAAGCATATTTTGTAGCAGGAGCTGTCAGGTAGGCCAAAACGCACAAGCAATAACGCGCTGAGTAGAAAAAAATCTATATTCATAAGCAGTAAGAGACGGGGGAGAGAGAGGGAGCTGCTTTGAAATTATGTGTTCGACGCATCAGTTCAACAAAAATAAAGCAATATTTTTGGCTTGATGCAAACATCCATTCACAATCACACACACCCAGTGGCACATACACTAGCACACAGCTCTTGGCAACAATTTTGGGCAACCCTTCTATCCCGGCAGTGGCAATTTGTGCCCCAAAATGTAGGCAGCGCAAAAAGGTTGCCATCGATAAGACGGCTACGGATTGCTGCTGCCTCAAGGGCTGCCGGCACGCACAGGTGGGCCGGAGCGTAAAAGTCTAGCGACTGTCATAATTTGACACATGCCCGGCAACACACACACCCCTACACACACACACACGCGCGTACCCACACATGCACGCACAGCGGTTATGTGAGGCGTTAAACAGGCTGCCAGATTCGAATTCAGATTCAGTGGCTGATTCAATCGCTCGTTCAGTGCGTCAGGCATTCAGAACACACATACACACTTACACACACACACACAGACTATTCCCCCATACAAACCCGCCCGATCTTGCCTTAACTTTAGCCTACGCTTTGAGCAGGTATTGACGCAATTTATGTCCGCTCAGTTTGTCATTCATTTTATCTCTCTATACCCTGCACAGGAAATGTATATTGCATGAATATACCAGCCTAAGCCACATCAAGCCGATTTAGACACAGGCTAAAGCCAATGCACGTATTTGTTATATAGCATTTTGGCTGAAAATATTTATACATATATTATAGAACATTTTGAGTATAAGCTGCAAAGCTATCGAGTATAGCTCCACCTGATAGTTTCATGTACCGATATACCGATACCGATTGTTCGTTTTATTTATTAAAGATAGTGATGTGAATCGATATATCATATTAAACAAATATAATCGATGAGACGAATTAAGCTCAACAAAAATTTGCATCAAAAAAAAAAAAAAAAAAATCATTAAATTTATTCCCATATGCTAAGTATAAAGCAATAAATATAATAATTAACTATTTTCTTCCCTATTTGCATATATATATCTATTAAGTATAGATTCCATCAACGAGAATCAAGGTGTATTAACACTAGAAAGTCTTCTAGTAAAAAAGCTCTCTCTCAATACTCTTTGACCCATGTATAAATCGATATAAATTTCTGCTAGGGTATCTCTCATTCAATCACTGCCCTGATGGCACACACACACACACTAAGAGGGTTCTTTTGCTTTTGTGCCTGCCGATTTGTGTGTTATTTTCAGGTTCATTTAGCGTTCAATGCTTGTAAAGAAATTTTAATTTTATGGCCAGGTGCCAACAGCGGGCAGGCCGAAAAAGCCAGTTGGCACCGAGAGCTTAACCAGCAAGCCGAAAACCAGAATTTTAGAAAGAATTATGCGCGCTTCACTGACAACCGAGCTGAGAGTTTAAGCCCAGAGTGGAGGAGTTTGGGCCGGGCCTACAGCAGTTGTCATGCTCATGGGCCTATAGAGGCGAAGGCAGAGCAAATTGCACGCATAATCGAATCGAGGCGACGCTTGAGCCTGACATTGCAGCATGGGTGGGCGCGGCACATGTGGTTGGGTGGGTTTGCTGCGGTTAAGTTCTCGCGTTAAGTTGACAAATTATTTTGGTAAATGTTTGCGTAATGCACGATAATAATATTTCGGCGAAAAGTCTCGACTGAACGGCATTCGATTCGGCTCGATTAGATTTGTTTTGGTTTGTAAGCTGCGGCAACTGCGGTTCTTGTTCGCGTGCTGCCGCAAATCCTCCTGCTCGCGTGTTCGGCGTGAGCTCTTGTGGCTGTGGCGGAGTGTGTGGGCCGTGGGCTTAACTAGAGCAAGGGTGGGGCAGCCCTGAGCCTGGCACCACAATTAATTAGCTGGGGCTCATATTGAATATTAATTACACATGCCACGCCCACCCGAAAGTTCCGCCCTCCCATTGAGGAGGGCCACTGACAGCAGCGGCCAAAACAAACACTCGACTGCAAAAACACTTGCGGGACCGGCGCTTGAGACGGGCCAGTTTTGGGGCCAAACACACTTGACGGCCTGCACGTCCACTCGACTTTGTGGTGTAATTAACACCTGGCCAGTGGTAGTGGCTGGCTAGTGGGTGAGTGGGTGGCTCGGGCGGCCGGTGGTGTGTGTGCCAAGTGGTAGCCAATTAGCTAAACGGCCGATGGCGGTAGGCTTCATTAGCATTACAGCCAGCAGCTGAATCGGTTGACAATCGAGTGAGCCCAGGCCTGGGCTGACTTTCCACAAGCTAAAAACAAAACGAGAAACGACAAAAAAAAAGAAACTTTCAGCCGCTTTGGCTGCAAGTAGCCATGACCGTGACACATGCTGCACAGTGCTGGGGCATTGTCTGTGCAGAGCCCGTATCAGAAAGCAACAACAAYAACAACGAAACACTTTCTAATGAACTTTTCGACAAGAGCTACAGTTCTACCGCAAATCTAAATACAAATACATAAATCCAGACAAAGCAGGTGAATTACGTGTCCATAGACCATAAACACCGCCACCACAGAAACACACAGAGAGAGGGAGAGCGAAATAATGAGCGGGAGAGACAGAGAGAGAGAGAGAGAGAGAGAGCGAGAGAGAGAACAATGGCGAAAACTGTTAGCCAGCCATGACGACTATCGGGCGAAAATGAACCAAACTCGTTGCGCTGAAACAACTCAAATTTTCCGTAGCTGCGGCAAACTTTAGCCAAGCCTCAGCGTCATTTCGCACAGGCCGAACATTAATGGGAATCGCACACTTTGCTGATTATGGCTCTGGTGCAGCTAGGTTAAAGACCAAAAAATTAATAGTTGTATAAAAAATGTATTTCAATTAAAATCAAAACATATTTTGAGCAACTCACGTTAATCCGTGTATGATTAGGAGCAGCAAAAAATAAAAAAAATTGGAAAGCTCTTGAAACATGATTTGAGCAGAGCCAATTTAAAAGTTGAATTTCGATTAATGAACTTTGGAAGCTATTAAAATTGAATTATTATTAATATTACAATTCTCCGCGCTGAATCTCTTTGTCTTCGAAACTCTACTTCCTAGTTTCCTCTTTGGACAATTGGCAATTATGAATAGGTCTATAGTAAAAAAAATCCATTTCTTAATATTCATAAGACGAGATTAAGGTGCATTTCTTAGAAAACTTGAAAATAAATTACTCATAATAAGAACATCCAATTTGATCACACAATTTGATGAACAGATTACATTGGAAAATAAAATAAAATAAATAAACGAATACGAAATATATATAAATATTTTTACAATTGCACAAAAAAAAAAAAAAAAAAAAAAAAAAAAAAAACGTTGCAGTCGTTACCGACTGCGGAATACTCATTCACATCCCATTAGCAATTTAGTAGTTAAGTTTCGCTCTAATACTGTAGAAAATAMAGTTTTWYCCGATTTRCCACGCCCCWACTGGGCGTAGACACCTCATTTTTGGTCAGTTCTTAGAACGTGATAACAGTACCCTAACTGCAAAGTTTGAATGCTTACCCTCAAAAAATGTGAAAATTACAGGGTATTTTTCGATATGCCACGCCCCCAAGGAGGCGTAAAAATTTTTCGATAGAGGAGGTTACTGGTAACTTAACTATCTAAATTTGAAGCTTCTAGCTATTATACTTTAGGAGATATCAACTTTTGCGGTTTGCGGACATATATCCGACAAAAATTTTTGGTCTTGGGTGATCAGCCCGAGTATATATATAAAATTTGAAGTCTCTGGCATCAATAGTGTCCAAAATACAGCAGAATTTAAAAAAAATCACTATATCTTCAGGTCCGATTTGCCGCGCCCCTAATTGACGTAGACTTATAATTTTGTCTTTAGACTTTATAGAATCATAACATTAGCTGACGTGCAAATTTTCAGCGCCCTAGCCGATTTGCCACCCCCCAATGGGGGCCGCCATAGCTCGAGATCTTGAGTGGTCGACGCAGACCTACATACCAAATTACAGCTTTCCAGCTCTTCAACAAACATGATTTCTGGTATATCGGACAATGCATTTTCCAAATTGTTACGCCCCTAGTGGGCGGATCGGGAAAATTTTAAAGTCTCTAGCTTCAATAGCACCTAAATAGATTGCGTTCATACAGACAGACGGACGGACAGCAAGACGAACATTGCACAAAACCAATATACTAATTCACTTTCGTGAATGAATATAACAAAAATGAAAAACAAAAAAACTTAAGCTTCAAATAAGAGTATAATTTTTCATAGAGCTATCTTTTACAATGAAATGATTCCCTATTATATGTATACTTTTTGGAAACTTCAAGTAATTACTTATCATATCATGGAAAATGCAGTCAGTGGTCCTTCTCAACATTATTAGAACGCACAGGAAAACTATATAATTTAATGTAAATAAAATTTTATGAATTGGCAAACATTTTACTTAAATGCAGAATAAATTAAACAAACGAAC